TATATATTATCATCAGTAATATTTAAAAAATGTAGCTACCATCGAAAAACCAAGCTGGTAAATATTAATTTTTTTTCTTTTTTTTTTTAAGTACAACATGTGGGGTATCGAACTTACAACCTATTGGTTGAAGATATATATTAATTCCTACTAAACTCTCATTTTGACAAGCTGGTAAAGATTAGTGGGTTGGAAAAACATTGAATTTCAAATTCTAGACCCCAAATTAATTTTCCATGCCAAAAATAAAGAAAATTGGAGTACAAAGTATGCACTACTAATTCAGCGACGACCATCTTTTTGATTGGTACCGCAGTAGCCCTTTGGTTGGGTATTGGAGCAACATTACCGATTGATAAATCCCTAACTTTAGGTCTTTTTTAAATTGATTCAATTGTGAAATAAATAAAAATTTTAATTAAATATGTGTGTATCTAGGGGTAATTCACTTTGAAGCAACGCCCAGACTGATAAAGTATTCATACCAAAAGGATTATATCCATTGATAAGTTGTGAAGAGTTTAACCATAGATAATCTCTTAACCATCCCATCAAATAAGTGGAAGATCTCGGAGACCCACCAAAGCACGAAAGCCAGAATCAATAAAACCTTCCAAAAAAAAGTTCAAAAATTCCCTGAGTAAGAACCCTTGGATTATCACTTATTCAATGACTGAATATAATGAAAAAAAAGACAAAGAAACGTTTATCCTTTAACCAAAATAAGTATAAACGAAAGAATAAAATTTTTTGAATTTATCACACAATATGGGTTTCAACGAAAGAAATTTAGTCATTAGTAAAGCGCAAGTCAACAAAAGTACTACTSTGAAAAAATTAAAACCTCGAGCTCGAGGCCGAAGTTATCCCATAAAACGCACTACTAATTCTTACATTATCACATGATGTCTCCTTGGGCTAGCCTTTATAAAGTTCCACCCAAGAGATGGCAACAGGGTGGAGTCGGGGGCCATCGCCGTCTCCGTATCCAAAATTTTGAGGGCCGGATTGGGGCGGAGATTCCCCGAACAGGGATGGGTTCCTCACGAAGTACTCGTCCCTGTGTATATATATAAAAATTTTTAATAAATATTTATTAATATTTTAATTATTTAAAAAATATAAACCTTTTCTTTTAAGGAATATTGTTAAATTTAATTAAATACAATTAAAAGTATTTATTAAAATTAATAATGATTATATATAAAAATTAAAAAATTAATAAAATATTAAACAGGGGACGAGGTCAGGGACGGGGTGACCTCCCCCGTCCCCGGTCAAACTGGAGATTCCCCATCCCACCGGGTCAGGTAACCGTGGGGATCTGATCCCGGACGTTGTTTTTTGCCATCTCTGTTTCAGAGACCAAAATAGTTGAAATTTCACCTTCAATTCAACAAAGCTTCATATTTGTGTTCAAACAGTGCAGTACAAGTACAAGGGCTGCTGATCATCCACTATCTGTAATTTTATATTAAAAAGAAAGAAAACTAAACTATGTTTTACTATATTATTAACACATTGCTCTTCCATTTCACTGCCCTCCTACAAACAGCAAGCCCCTTACAAGCAAGCAAAAACCTTCCTTTAGCTTCACTTTCAAGTTTCAAGAATCAAAAGCAAGCTGCCTGTGTCTCTTCAGATCGCTAAGGTATCTCGTCTTGTTGTATTCTTGTGCGTCCAAGAGCTCTTCCGAGTACGTCCGTTGCAGCGACGCCCTTGTGCTCTTCTTTTCACACTCCGCTACATATTTGTCGCCTCTTAGCAGGATGATGACCTGCAATAAACCAGAGCATTACATTACATGTTTGATGAAGAGAAGACGAGGGTGCACTGCACTGTGGTTTTCCTTCCCACTTGCCTGGCTCATCCGAGGTCGGAGGATTGGAGACTGCTCAATGCACAGAGATGCGGTTAGAATCACGCGTTCCATCTCTTCGAGATCATAAGTTTTACCGAGAGAGGGATCGATGAGCTCATCGTGATTGTTGCTATCTAGTAGAGGCTTTGCCTGAAATGAAGAAAACTCAACAGTCCTTAAAGGTATGTTAATGAACTAGGCACTAGTGACATTAGTTTGTTCAAACGTTGTTGTTACCCATAGTACAAGGCTTTGCCGCAATTCGTCCAAGGCTCGACGCCCGGTTATGAGCTCCAACAGTAGAACTCCAAAAGAGTATACATCAGTCTTCTCATCAACTATCCCATGCATGAAATACTCGGGCGCGAAGTATCTGCATCAAACAGATGAGAAATGTGTTTAAAAACAAACAAAAAACAGTACCGCATCAATGAGGAGGAAAATGCAGGCTTACTACTAACCCGAACGTGCCCTCGAATTTCGACACGCTGTAGTGAGTCCATTGTTTGGGTAGCCACTTAGCAAGGCCAAAATCACAAATCTGGATAGATTTGAGTTTAGAATGGTCTCAATGATGAAATAAGATAGAAGCATGAAGTAAAGCTTCAACATTAACATTAAACTAGTATTTAGAACATGAAAGCTACCTGGGGTTCAAAATCTTCTGTAAGCAGAACGTTATCGGCTTTGATATCTCGATGAATGATACGCCTCTGACAATTATCATGAAGATACAGCAGACCATCAGCTATACCGAGAGCGATCTTGTATCTCTTACTCCAATCGAGTTTGCTCGCATTTGGGCCTGGGGGATGTGAATATAAAGGGGTGAATGAGAATTGTACAAACCAAAGAACAGATCAACAAGGTTTAAGGAATCACCATGGAGAAAAGATCCTAAACTTCCATTTTGAGATAATTTGAAAACAAGGTGCATGCCCCCGTCGATGCCACAACCGATCAACTTGGCAGTGTTAGGATGATCGATGTGAGCAATGATGCCGAGCTCGGATAAGAAACACACAGTTCTCTCATCTGGCGCTCCTTTGGTCAGCCTCTTCACTGCTATCAGTTGCCCGTCTTGTAAACGGCCCTTGTAAACCTCGGCGTAGCCACCTTTTCCAATCAAATTTTCTACAAAAACGAACAAGAGAACCATGAAGAACAATAAACGGTGTTGTTGACACCAAACTTAGAGTCAAAAGTGATGAAATACGAACTGCAACCAACCATGGCTGAATTTGTTGGTTGCAGCTTGGAGCTCGGAGAAAGTAAAGTTTCCCAATGAGGACTTGAACTTGTACAAGTCACTTAGCCCCGGATTATCCCTGCCACTCCTGGCCACTCTTCTCGATATCTTCAGCACCCCAAGGGGAGGAAAAGAGGCTAGGCGTCGAAACGATCTCTTTTTCCATAATTTAAAGAACTTTTTCCAGTGAGAAAGAGCCCTTGAGTGTGAATGTTGAGTCTCAGATTCAGGGTTACCATCGTTTGAAGGATCGGGATCAAATTCCGAACTCTGTAAGCTGGCTTCCAAAACTCCTCTAGGGGATGATGCATCATGTTTCTCAATTTCCAGGTCAAAACATCTCAATTCTACATAAAAAGCACATGAAACCAATAATTCAGCAGCCTAAATGATGTACCTATAATAGAAGTTCGTAGAACCAAAAAATATTCACCTCGAGCTGAAGCAGATGGAAACATATTGCTCCGCATTTTTTGCTTCCCATAAGTAGCCATGTATAGTGGAGGTCTTTTGGCTACTTCACCCATACGCCTATCATTCTCCCTATAAAACAACATAGAATAGTCAAAATCTCAACATCAAGTGTAAATGTTTTAATAAGTTTACAAAAGACCCTAATGAGAATTCTACTCATACTGAAATACGAAGAAAGCTATTATTTTTTCTTGTCTCAATATTAGTGATATCGGCCGATCAGCCTATACCACTTGAATAGGATCTCTTCTGTGACCTTGAATTCCCAGTGGTATCGACCTACCGGGCCCCACCTGAGGAGATTTCAACTACGTTTTTTACTTTTGATAATTGGAGGTCGGAGCTTTACCCTCATATACTAGGAAACTCACACCTACCTAAAGCTCAGACTCGAAGAGATATCAAAGGTGTTTTCTTATTAAGCTCACCTGAAAGTTTGAACATGCGACCTCTGGGGAGGTGTTACTCAGAGACCGCATGCCCTTGCCAACGAGGCTACCCCTTGGGAGCTTACTTCTACTGCCCTAACTAAGAAACATCAAGAATTTATGCTGAAGGCTCAAACCCAGAACCTTCAAGAATTCCCCTCCAAACATCCCAAAAAGAGTGATTACAACCACAAAAAAGGTCATAAGACTCACATAACTCAGTTGGTATTGCTTTTGCATTCTTAAAGGTCATCCTCCTTTAGAGTTATAACTATTTAAAATGTTTTCTTTTTTTTTTTTTTCACAGATAAAGCAATGCAACAATATGCTTTTCATCAACAACAGATAGCAAATCCTCAACATACTCATTCTCAAATCTCAAATGAACAAACATATCAAAGAAAAACAGACTAATACATAGTTTTCAGCTTCCCTCCTCATAAACAGAGTTCACAAAAAGCCAACTCTCTTGTCCCCCTTTTCCAAAAAGGAGAATAAAAAGGGACAAAAGGCATTCTAGATTACATTATTTGGAGAAACACAAGCATGGAAAATCCCCATCATCCCAAAGGGGCCAAAATCTCAAGCAACCCAAAAGAGCCAAACAAAAAAGGACAAAAAGAAATCAGATATCCACAAAATCTCCACAGCCACACCCCAGAAATCCAGAAGGTACGTAATTTTCCACTAGAAATGAGCAAATAACATACACCCAGAAACCAAACGCATGCAAAATCAAAAAAGAAAGTCCCCAAATCCTCATCAGAGCAGAAGAAGAAGCTGAAAATGAAAGAGAGTCAAGGGAAATGGGAATACCATGGAGCAGGAGGTTTGCGAAACGTATCATTCTCCATGGGAAAGACTCTCAAATAGACAGAGACAGAGACACAGACTGAGAGAGGACAATGGAGAAAAAGACAGAAAAGGAAGGGCCAGGTAGGAGTTAGCCTATCGATGAGGCTCCATTAGAGGGGCAGAGGAGGAAATTTGGATGAAATGAAAAGTACCCAGGAGTTTTTGTTTGGGAGGCTAGGGAAAGGGAAAAGGAAAAGGAAATGGAAATGGGTTACCATGGTGGGGTGAAAAGAGAAAAGGGACGATGGCTAAAAATGGAGAAATCTGAGTGGGAAAAAGAAAAACTCTGATTTTCTTCGCTGTATGGTGAGAGGAGGCAGGTTCGAGGACATGGGCGCGGGAGTTTCGCCAACGGGGAGGTATTTGGTACGGCTGGTGAATGGCTCTACAGCGACTTCTGCTCTCAAACCTTCAAAAATGGCAGAGGAGAGAGAAAGAATGACACAGCAAGAACAGGAACAGAGAGAGAAAGAGATCAAATCAAGCTTTTTAATCAGACTTATTTTTCATTTTCGGCTTGCCCATCAACCAATTGAGTGTAATGGAGTTAAAGTTAAACAATTAATATATATTTTTTAAATATTTTAAGTTTAATAATTGCGGGCAGGAGACTAAATCATCAATCTTAAAGAAGATAATAACCGTGTATACAATCAACTATGGTCGAATTGATATGTTAATTAGATCATTCTTTAATGACAAATTGATTTTATTTTTATTCGGTTATCAAATTTTAAGATAAGTGTATATGCCTCCATTTGGATTCTACGATGTTTAAAATTTCAATGTTTGGTTAAATAGCATAATATGTTTCTAAAATTTATTTATACCTATTTGAAAATTTACTCATTTTTCTCTATTTTTTATTTAAATATGGACTTTAGCATCGTTTATTAAGACTATTAGTTAGATAAATAATACCAACAAATTGCTACATAATTAGAATATGCCCACATTCAATATTTAAGGACCTGTAATAATTGAGAAAATTTCTATTAGAAATAAAATTATAAATACCAAATTAAAGTTAAAGTTCTACCGATAAGGAAAAATTTGATAATTTAACCCATAATTTATTTGTTTTGTTTATACTTTTTTGTTTAATTTAAAAAAGGAATGAATTCATGGCAAAAAAAGAAAAAAAAAACTACGCTGTTAGAAAGTAAATTACAAAATAAAAAATTTGAAGGTAATAAATTTCTTTTTCAGAAATAGAAAATTAAAAATGAAAGGATTATTAAACCGTCATAAATATACAATAAACATGTGTCGATAAAATTTAATTTGGAATTTATAAATCGCCCCCAAAAGTTTTTCTGTATTAAATATTGTCTCTGCCTAACTCTTCAAATTTTCAAATGTGCCCAAAGTAACTGATGGCGACCTGCCAAAAAACAATAAATTTGTAATTAATTGAAAAGTACTACCTTTCCTTTGCCACTTGGATTCTAAAGTTATGACTTATGACGTCATTATTTAATTTCTTTTTATGTTCTAATAAAGAGAATGGAAAAAAATATAAATTTTATATTTTAATTAACATATATATTTTTTAATTAAATATGAAAAACAAAATTTAACAATAGCCCTAAATCATGATAGATTTCGTTTTCCATCCCCACCAAACAAAAGTATTTTATAACCCAACAAAATTGAAATAATTAATATCAACCATAAGCTATGTTTGATTTTATAAGGTGAATATAATTTAAATATATTTATAAAACTAGATCCATAGAGGCTAAAGGCGATTAAGTCTTTTACTATTATAAATATGTTTTTTATAAAATTAGTCGAATTTAAAGAATTATTAATAAAAATATTATATTTATGAATTCAAGTAAATATTTTTAAAGTGTTTGTAAAAATGGTTGGAGGAAGAAAAAGAGAGTAGTGGACATAAAATGCGGGTAAATATGGGCCCATGGTTGGTAAATATAATATTAGTTGAAGGACTTAAAAGAAAAAGAGCTTGGCACTATTCCCAACTTGAGAAAAAATGGGGTGCAGAATGTTGTTTTGTCTCCATAGCATGGACCATATCATATGAATATGATCATATAATAATAGTAGTGGTAGTAGTAACATTTTTAATTTAAAAAAGAAATAATAGATTCAAGTGAGAAAAATAATGCAGAATAGTTGGTTAAAATATCAATTACCGTTGAACTATGTTTGTTTTGGCATCAATTAAAATTTTGGAGGTTCTAATCACCACCTCTAACATATGGTTGGACTTTAAAATTAAACAAATTTCTTTCCATTACAGTCTTCAAAGAGATAAAATTACATGTCAAATGAACTTCTTAATAATAAATATAACAAATGTGTGGATGAGAAATTGAACCTCTAACATCTACGACGAAATGAGCAAGATGTTTTAACCGATAAGTTAGGCTCATGTTGGCATTATGTAAATGGATTAGAAGAAAAAGACAAATAAAATTATAGTTTGGACTATTTTAACTTGATTATGTGCAACTATATATTTAAAGGGCACACGCGTTGGATCAATGAGAGTGAGTGCATACAAGACCAGACACGTGAGCTCTCACACCTCCCGAAGACGATCTATTAAGTTAAGTCGTTTCCTAAACTAAGAAAGAAACATTCCGTTATTTTTAGATGTGTTCGGGACATTCTATTAATGTCAATGACTTTTTTAGAATGTATTCATTCAATCAAAACAAAAACAAAAAAGATATATCACCATTTTACATTGTTTATTCTCCCAGTTAGCTCAATAGTTGTGTCACTACTAAGTTTTTTTTATTGCACTCATTTAATATAACAATTTAATAGGTACAAAATTGAAAATTTAGAGACCTAGTAAGTATTTTTAAATTTGAAATTTGAATAAATTACAAATCTTGAAAATTTAAGGACTAAATTTGTAATTTGAATCCTTTTCAATCTCACCGAATAAAAATTAAAATAATATAAATGATTTGTCATGTCTTGAAGAGGTGAGATATAGATAGAGACGTGTGAAAAGGAACTTTTTTTTTTCTTTTTTTTTTTTTTATAGTTCCATGAAATGTAAAATCAAAATAAAAGTGGATGGATGGAAGAATGGGGCAAGGTTTTGCCGGTTGCTGCCGTTACATTGCTCAGTATGGAGAGTGACCCAAATGGGGCAACCGTTTTAGATAACTCCATTTTTGATTTCGTCATATGCATACAAAAAGGGGTTCATTTCTTGCCAATTTTGGGATTTCAATTCAGAAATTTGATGCCATGTTGAGTGTAAATTAAGTCAATTTTGATTCCTTTTTGGAAATTGTACAAGTGGGTTACACTTGCAACTAATCAATATTTGAATTTAAATCGGGAATCAAAATTGTAAATTAGTTTGATTTTGATGGTTGAATTTGTATCGTTAATCAAATGTTAATCGAGTATCGTACGAGTAGGTCGATGTCGACTCCTTTTGACAAACGTGTAAGGAGGAGTAGTGAGATTTAAACTTTGATGGAAACTATAAATCAATTAGATTTTGCAGATGGAGTCATCACTGATGAGCCGAGTTTAATTACGACATTTTGGTTTTTTTTTTTTTTTGACAAAAGTGCAAGTGAATTTGCGAGATTTTAACTTTTTGGTGAAAAGTACAAAACAATTAGATTTTGTCGGTTAAATATCATCACTAATGAATTCGGTATAGTCATGGTTTCTTTTATAAAGATGTACAAGTAAATATGAGAACTTATAAACCACGTTAGTTTTATCGATTGAGTCATCATTAACGAGTTCGGTTTAATGATTCGGTTTGCAAGTTACATTGTTTTTTCTTTTCTTTACACTTTTGCAAGTTAGATTTAAGTTTTAGGTGAAAATTATAAACTAACTAAGTTCTCTCAATTGAAGCATCATTCAGGAGTTTAGAACTAATTTGGTTTATTTGCATTATTTTTAGATAAAAAGTAGAAGTAATTAAATTTGAATCAATAAATTAAATTTTACTAATTGAATTGTAAGGCGATTCGAATCTCTGCTTCATATATTAGTCTGGTCCACTAAAGCTGAACTAGATCACTTCATTTGAATGAAATCCACTATAGTTATCAAATTGATGATTAATAAGGAAAATTAGGCCATAAGAAATGGAAACTTGAAAAGTATTTTTTTTCCCTTGAAATAATTGGTAACCATAGGTCAAGTTCAATTGAGATAAAGTGGGCTTTCCCTGTCTGTGCCCTCTGGCAAGGCACATGGAGGATGGCAAAGAAGAGCAATTTTCCTTTTTTTTTTAAGAAACCTTTTCTTTTCCTTTTTAATTAATGTTTTTGTTTTAATTTAAAAAATAAAACAAAATTTCCAAAACTATCCTAAGTGATTATTCTAACCATCGATAAGGTGTATCAATTTTTACCAAACTTTCAATTTCATAAAATTGCAAGATTTTCATTTTAGAAATGGTTGAAAAAAGATAAAACATTTTGGTATAAAATTGACAAAATTATGACAAAAATGATACTAGAGCGAGTTTTTTTTTGTTGTTGACATTTGTAAGTTTTGGAGGAGTTAATTTAGTGGTCTATTTTGTGTATTAATAATCAAACTTTATTTATGCCAAACTTGATTTTCTTTAAATCACATAATGTCTTAGAGTTGTTTACGGTGGGTGAATTAGCAAAAATTGAATAGATGGTAATTTTTTTGCGACGTTGATCTTAATCTATGGTTAAATTGGACCAAAATTAAAAGTTTAGAATTAAAATTAATACAACTTACCAAGGTAAGGGTGAAAAATGAAAACTTCCCTATCTTTTAGAATAGGTAAAAGTAATTTTTCTATCAAAATCATGAAATCACTACTAAGGCACTAATAATATTTACTTTTACAAGTCACTCAAATAAAGGGTAAAATCCTCGACTCTTTTGAGAAATAAATAATGTCTCGTAAACGACTTTTTTTAATAAAACTATAGGTGTCTAAACCAGTTGAGCCATATATGATAAACTTCATATTTACAACGTTTGTGCTCGACATTTAATTAATTGATTACAAGCATGACAACGGGGCACACGATTTCAACAGAGCTCTCCCTGCAAGCAGTACAAAAAATTAAATTAGGGCATTTATTAACGTGTGATACACATGCCCAAGAAGGGGAAATTTTTCATGTGAATTAATACTCTCAATTTTATTTTTGAGGGATATTTGTTATATTTGGTTAATTTTTTTTAGATATTTTTATTTGTTCGTTAAATTGACACGAGTGAGTGACATTTCTATTATATTATTAATATTTAAAAATTAACTAAATATAATAAATATGAACGTTTTTTTAGACAATAATAAATATCGACGTTAATGATAGACATAATACAAATGTTAGCTTATTTTAAAAAATATTAAAATATTTATTTATTAATTTTCTTAAAAATGTCTATTGACATCTACATTTTTTTAGTATAACATGTGGGGTGGAGATCGAACTTACAACTTTTTGATTGGAGATATGTGCAGTTACAGTTAAGCTACAGTTAAGCTATGTTCGATTTAGCATCGTTATATTAGTCTTAAATGTTGGTGGCGTGATTGATAATAAACATGAGCATATCACAAGAGTACACAATATTTCTGATTTTTTTTTTCAAAGAGAATAGTGTGATGGAGAATTGAGATACACTAAGAGAGGAAGACATTTTACGAATAAAAAAGAATTATGATTTTTCTGCTCATCTAATTTTTTTTTTAAACAAAGGGTAACATAAGACTAAAATTTTCATCTATACAAGTTTGAAATGTTTTATTTTTATTATTAAAACTTTGCGAGGATGCAATAATTATTATATTTAAGAATATTTTATTTAAGTTATCCTTAAATTAAGCCTATGATAAGTTAATAAAATATATTTTAATATCACATCATCATTTTGTCAATAAATTTTAATATAGTGGAGACTTAATTATGAAAAAGAAAAATATTAAAAAAGATAAAATTAGTAATGAAATTGAAAACGAGTCGGTGTACCTTTTGATGATGATATGATATTATCACCGGATAGATAAAGATTAGAAATTGTTGAATCAATTGCTCTTCCAAAATATATAGTTGATAATACCACTTAGGGGTGCCAAAATAAAACGAGGTACCAAACTACATTATATTACTTTTAATTGCTCTACCCTCTACGATCATCTTTACAAGGAATTGAAATAATGCCAACGCTAAAAGTAAAGTAATATTGTGACAGAAAATTAAACTGTGTTTAGGTAGTTAAATACAAAAACACAAAAAAGTTTAAAAAAATGAAAAAAAAAATAATGCCAACGTTAAAGAAGGTAAAGTAATATTGTGACAGAAAATTAAACTATGTTTAGGTAATTAAATACAAAAACACAGAAAAGTTTAAAAAAATGGAAAAATGAAAATGAAGTCTGTTTAGAAAAAGTGAACACATTAGGATTATATTAAAATGTAACGAACCAAATAGGCATCAAAGTCGATATGTCCGAGTGGTTAAGGAGACAGACTTGAAATCTGTTGGGCTTCGCCCGCGCAGGTTCGAACCCTGCTGTCGACGTTTTTTAATTTTTTACCATCTTTTTTTTCGTTTCTATTTCTAATTATATCTTTTTTTTTTAATTTCTAATTTTTTCTATTTTTGTTGGTTTCTATTTCTTAAAATCGTATTAATGCCCAGAAATTATATCGTTACTATTTCTAATTATATCTCCTTTTTTTATTTCTAATTTTTTCTATCTTTTTTTGGTTTCTATTTCTAATTTTTTTCTATTTCTTAAAATCGTATTAACGCCCAGAAATTATCAAAACATTATATATAATATATATATCTATATTTATTTATTTATTGTCACATTATTTTCTAAAAAGTACTAAAACAGAAATTATTTTCTCAAAAAAAAAACAGAAATTATATTTTTTTGTGTTTTAATACCTTCTATTTTTTTGGAAGCAATGGTATTTTCATGGATAACAAGTTCAAAAAGCAAATTACATAAATATTTTATGCCAAATCGAACATAGTTAATTAGTTAACGTAAAGTAACACTATGCAAAAAGTCAAATTTTCAAAATTTCTATTTCTCCGGTTGTTAATGAACTAAAAAATATATAAAAATAAATCAACCATGGCTATATGTATGACACCCAATATTTACGGCTCTAGGAAAAAAGACCAACTTTATTGATCTTAATTTGGAGTTAAGTTAATATATTTGTATATAAAGAGATAGAAATTTGTGAATGATAAGTTACCATTATGTAGTGATCTACAAGTATTGTTAATTTTTCTCCAAACAGATGAGAATGACTCATAAGAAGAATATTAAGAATATATATACTTTTCACTATCGTTATACTTGATTATATATTGTCATTTTTTTTTTGTTCTTTCAATCTTGTTCTTTCATTCTTTATGTTGTGGATCTTGTAGATTAAAAACGAAATTTAAGAACAATACAAATATAAAGAACAAAAATTATATATACGTAGCAAAAAAAACTAATGAACAACTAAAAACTTTTGTCAGCAAAATACTTATAGCTAATTCATATGAGAATGAGATGATGAAGCTTTTTTTTTCTTTATTTTTAGATTGGATTTTCGTTTAAGTTTATCAATATATATTTATAGATTCCGTCTCAAAATCTGAGAAGTAGTCCATGTTTATTAGAGATATTTGTTAGATTCATTTTCCTTTTAACGTGGAATTTGATCCTTAATTAACAGCCCATATTTAATATCAAAATTATTTATTTCTCAGGTACAAGATACTATCATTACCGCTTGGACAATTAGACATCCAACCCATAATCGCAACGACCCAATTGCAAGAGTGGAGCTCTACCAACTGAGCTATATCCCCGAGTCAAGTGGGGCCTGCATGAAGGAGTCAAATGTTTCTTCTATTCTTTTATTCTTTTCCTTGGCGTAGCTGGGCCATCCTGGACTTGAACTAGAGACCTCGCCCGTGAAGTAAATCATCGCACCTACGATCCAACCAATTGGGAGGTCTCACGAGTCAAGTCTTTATCCATTACTTTTTTAGAGTTATAATGGGGCCAGCAGCAAGTGATGCAATGAACTTAGGAATTTGGGAATTGAAGCATTTTATCAAATGTTTCTGAATGGATTGAGATGAAAACTCAAAATTATTCATTGTTTTCCTCAATCTCATTTATTACAACACCCAAAAGCCCTAGCTAGCTAAAATCCAACTAAATGAATTTACACTTATCTTTTCAACAGAATCCCATGATGTCTGTGGCTTTTTCTAGCTGTGTATGTTACTTAGCCAACTTTTTCACCTGGTCTGTTTCTGAACAATATTCCAAAAAGATGACACAACTTTTTACTTTCAAAAGTTTAGACCATTTTATGTTTCGAGTTATTTATTTATTTTTTGAAAATCAAATTAAACTTGAATGTGTTTGTCTCTATCATCCTAACAAGTGACTGTTGAAGTAAAATTTTTACGTTTGTTTTTTCTCGAATCTAAATCATGATCAAACTCTTTCTGCCATCACTTCATCTAGAATAGTCAAATATTTTATTGTAATATGAAAAATTATTGATACGTGATTCTGATCGGGATTGACACGTTGATTGATTGTGTGATATGGACTCTGAGGTGAGCTATACATACATGCACCTGCAAATAGAATCTCGCACTAGGACAGTATTGAGAAGTATTATGATGTGTGGGGCTCTATCACTATAGTGTACGTACCTATCATTTAACGGATTGTTTGCGGGCAATTGTAAGATCTTCTAAACGCATAAATCGTCATTATATAAAATATGTCCACGAATTTTCTGTCAGTCAAAATCTTCTCCAAGTCTGAACCAAGCTAAGCCAAAGACAGAGAGATCCTTCATCCTCATATTTGAAGTGTAAGAACGGACGTCCATACACATTTGTCCTAGCGGGAGAAAAAAAGACCCTGCATTTGATTTTGACCTACCACACATAAACATTTTAGTGACTCTAAATATATATATAGAAGCAAGTATTGCATTCAATTAATTAGTTAGGCATATTTAACGAGTAAAGCCAAAGCGAGCATAGTAATCAACATGTCTCAAATGCCAAAGCGAACATATAGCTAAGCGGTAATCGACATATGTCTCAAAATATTACCTTATTAAAGATGTCACTCAAATGACCGGAGCCCTTCCAATTTGAACAAATTTCTTAGTTTACAAAGCAAATCTCAACAATTCTCCAACCTAAATTTGCTCGAGGGGGGATGATCAACTTATATGTAAACCCATAGTTAATTTTAATTCATTTTAGCTATCATGGTAGGTTTCTATACGTGCCATATTTTTAAAAATTTTAAAAAATATTATAAACTCCCTTGTTAAAGCCCCGTTGAAAGATGAAAGATTTAGATAACTTAAGCAGATAAGAAATATAAATTGATTTTTTGAAATGTTTCTCGGGAATTGCATCAGAACATTCATTCCAGTTCTTAGCTCATTATTTCAGCAGAGAAAGAGACCAAAATAAAAATTCCACTGACCACCGCTTGCTCTTTTCCTGAACCATCATATCTCTGACTCAGAATTCAAACACTCCACACCATGCATGCACATTATTATAATAATAATAATTATTATTATTATTATTCACATTCCACTTCCAAAAAAAAAAAAAAGACCATAAATTTGACATATGTAGATTTTTGAACTATTTATCCGTCACCATATCTAAGTATTTTTCTAAAAAAAAAAAAGAACCTTATCCTATAAAACCCCCCACAAAGACAACTGATTTTTCTCTTTCTTAAAAAAAAGAAAAAAGAAAAAAGGGAAAACTATAAAATTCTCTCATTTTATGCACGCCCACCACCGGTTCATCAAATCCTACCAAATCATTTAAAAAGAAAGGAAAAAAAAAAACCCTTTTAACTTGTTGTCACACAGTGGTGCCTCCACACATCATCCAAATGCTGGTGGCGGCGCCGGCCGTCCACCGCCTCCACACACCGCCGGAATTCCCCCGTCCCTTCTTCCACAAAACCCTCATCATCTTCTTCTTCTTCATCGTCCTCGTCAATTATATCTTCTTCTTGATCATCTTCTTGTTGTTTGTCCATGATGAGGTGCAATCTGAGTCGTCCATCTCCCCTGGAAGCGCGGAGAATCTCTGGCCGTTGGATCCTGACCTCGGTGAGCTCCAGCCGTCCATCTTTCCTGACCGGACGGAGATAGAAATTAGGATGTCCATGCTGGTTCAGAGAAGACAGCAGCGGCGGGAAACTCCTCTCGACCAGCACCCTCCGCCGCGCCCTGACCCCACCGCCGCCGCCGTTGTCGGCCTCCGTGATCATTTCATTTTCATCCAGGCGGCGCTGGTCAGAGCTCTCGAAGCCGAGGCTCTCGGTGCAGTACATTAAGCCGTCGACGCCGCCGTCGTTGTGGTCGACGAAACCGACCCCGCCGGGATCTCTCCGCTGCGGCGAGGGCGGCGGAGAAACGGAGAAGCTGATATCGTGGTCGTCGTCGGGGTGGGATTTGAAAGGGGAGAGGGTGTCGGCAAAGGCCAGGAAAGAGTGGACACTTTTTCTGCAGAAACTCATCATTTTTGTTTTGTTGGTGATGGGAATTAAGAAGAAGAAGAGGGGTATTAATAATGTCCAGCCGGGTGGGGACGCACTTGATCTTGTCTTCGCTATCATTAAAAATTAATACTTTATTCTTTTAATTATTTTATCTCTCTTAAAATATATATTTTCAATAAGTAAAGACAATATTAATAATTTTAAAATTTTATTAAATGTAGTTTAGTATTGAAATATCAAATAGAAATAAAATAAGTAGAAGGTCTTTATTTTTAGTTTTGAAATAGTAATGATAAAGATGAGAAGAATTATGGTTATCCATGTGGTTTGTTGGGTTGTGAGAGATGGGGAAATGGTGAGAATCCAGAAGCCTTGGAGTGTGAGAGATGGGTAATCCACAAGCCTTGGAGTGAGGGAGAGAGAAGAACAACAAACAAAATATTCAACTTCTTCCCATTTCAACCTTCTTTTGTCGGTTCTATTCTGATAACACTTTCAATTTTTGTTTTCTACTTTCAAATTAAACTTTTCTTTTTATTTTAATAACTTTTGTCAAAATATTCATAAATTTCATCATTTTATATATAAAACAAAACATTCTTATTATCGTAAATATTCCAATATTACACTTCTTCTCGAAAAGTTGAAAATTATAACCAAGTAGTATATTTATAAAATTTCAACCATTTGGAGTACAGAATCCAAAAATAGTTTTGAAAAATAAATCTGCTAGAGATGTTTACTAAATTCAATAGAATTCAAATGGCATATCAAGATCGAGCTCCTCTCGATCTTATTCGCATATCAAATAAGTTCTTAATTTTTTTTAATTATCTTTAATCCTCTAGTACAGTTCATCCTCAATAATCTCACTAATAATTAGAAAAAAAAAAGAAGAGTGATTGAATGAAATATCTGAACAAACAAAATAAATATAATTCTTACAAAACAGTGGGAATCTCATCTGCTAAACTTACTTGAAGTGGGAACCTCACCACAAGCATAATAAAGTAGCTCAGCATTTATAAAGCTTTTAGGCTAAGTTATAGTAAGTTGTGCTTATTTAATCCTTTGAATTTAATTTTTTTAATACAACATTATAGGTAGAATGCAGATTCGGATTCGAACTTGCAATTTTTTAATTAGAGATAGATACCTCAACCAATTGAAGTAAGCTCAGGTTGACAATTTTAAAAAATTCGAACCTTTGAGTGAACTTAGTATCAAAAACTTTTGGTGTCTCCCAAACCTTGGGGCTCGAGACAAGCTCTAACTCACAGTCATCCAAAAAAAACTAGATGAAAAAAAAGGTGGTAGTTAGGTTCTTTGCTTCTAAATAGTCCTCATTATGTCATTAATGAAATGCTAAGTTTGTGAAAGATGCTTCTAGTTAATCTCAATTTATATCATTAGTGAAATACTGATGTAGAAGGTATAGTGGCCCGTTGTTTAACAAACCATGCCAACTGAATCCGAATTAATCTTGTAGATAGCATTTTGTTAATACTATAGTTTAGGAACATAGACAATTAAAAAAAAGTTTATTGACTAATAGACACTATAAACAAATACATAATTTAACCAAAATTGACCTGCTATCTAATTTATGAAGTTTAAGCTTAGTGGAGTACTCACAAGGTAATGAAATGAACTATATTAAGAAATGATTATAGCACTGTTAGAGATATGGCAGCAGAACGGAGTTTTATGCCATCTTCATCCCATTTCGACCGTGGTGCAGTTGCTCCAGCAACAAACGCCTACAAAAAGAAGAAGAAGAAGAAGCTATGTCAAAATGACGATTGACGCTCGGGCAACACCACGATCTTCAAGCAGAACTCAGAATTCTAAAGTCAAGTTTGCCATATTGAACATCATATCAACTAGTAAGATTTGCCCCCATCATCAGTTTAGCTTTGAATCAATGGCTTATCCAAATGTCATAAAAAACTCAGACCCATCCAGCCAAATAAGATGTTTAGTTTGTAGTGTGAATTGTAAATCACAGACCTGTCCACTGTTGACAGTTGCTACTAATGCAACGTGTTGTTCGCCCTTCCCAAACTCGTAGAAATAATAAGTCCTAGAAAAAGAGGCAATGAGATGAAAACATGAAAGTTGATACAGGAAAAGAGGATTAGAAACAATTATTCAAAAACTTCTAACTTTAACCATCATGGGACGGCCCAAATGATCTATCATGACCAATGTAAATAGCAAATGACTTAGAGGGAATGGGTTCAAACTATGGTGGCTACCTACCTAGGTTTTAATATCCTACGAGTTTCCTTGTTTCATTGTCAACCAAATGTAGTAGGGTCAGGTGGTTGACCTATGAATAGTCGAGGTGCGCGTAAGCTGGCCGGACACACGGATATAAAAAAAAAAGAAACTTCTAACTTTAGATCCAGAGAAAAAATTGCTTCTCTCCTAGGATATTAAATCTTAGGTAGGTGGCCACCATAGTTTGAACCCATTCCCTCTAAGCCCTTTGCTATTTACATTGGCCTTTATTGACCACTGGACCATTCCATGATGGTTAAGGAGCTCATGATGTATTAAAATGTGGTATTTAAATAACTATATGGACTAAGAATATTATGGTCATGCTTCACACCAATCTATCAGTGTTCTTAACTTTTTCCCTATTCAAGACAAAAGCTCTGACCTCTGGAGGTATATATAAGTAGAGGCAGAGGAAGAGACTCTCTTCGGTGTTGCGGCTCTCACAATATTTTATTTTGATATTTGTGAGTGTCTGGATCAATTTTCGCACCTCTCGACTAATCTTACAGACAACTGTCTGACTCAACTACATTTGATTGCCCGTGAAATTTGTATCGTCCCACATCTTAGGACATGGGAGCACTCTTGGGTGTGCTAACTTTTCTTCTCTATTTCGTGGAACTTTCAGCGTGAGAGAAATAGGAGAAATTTTAGAGGCATGAAAGCCCTATGGTTATGTTTTATGTCTCTCTTTGAATTTCAGTTTCTAAGGATTTTTATGACTACCCTTTGCCTGTTATCCTCATCAACCAGAGCCCTTTTTATGTTCTCCAATTCGCTTTCTTTGTACAAACTCCTTTTAGAACTTGTTTTTTCATTGAAAAGAAAAAAGAGAATCATATTTGCAAAGATTTTGTCCTAACACCTTGGCACCATAGTTACCTGAAACCTTCATCTTCCTTAATTTTAAATGTTCGGGCGGAAAACAAAGTTGCGCCACCTATCATGGTCAGAATTCCAAAATCAATAGCTAGAATGAGATGTGGAACAAAAGAAAAAATAACTATAACCATAATGACCAGATAAAAAAACCCAAAAAGGGTTACTTAGCCTATTGCAGAAGTGTAATGTGTACCTGGAACAAAGATTTTTGCAGCTTCCCTTAAGGAACCTATATCAGATATATCTTTCGCCTGTTTTTTGCAAGTAAGAACGGAAGCTCCTAAAAAAGTTGTCCATGAAAGAACATAAACATAACTAAATAAGCATCTACGAAATCACCTTATTCAAGTTTGTGATTAATAACTTCAAAAACCATTTTGAAAAACTCAGACTAACAGTAAGGTAGTATGATCTCTTCTTGGTATGAAAGAGCCAGGAAGCTTAGAAATAAAGCAAGACACAAACGACTTGGCAAAAGAAAACCGTTCAGAAACCAAATCAAAAGCCAGTTGGATGCATCACAAGTTGAATTTAACGTTGGCCATTTTGATCATAAGTCTTGAAACGTCACAACGTGACCATCATTGCGCTACCTCTAGAAAGGTGATCTTAAGTTGATTCGTCGGACGAGTGACAACACTTACAACTTCAGAGCTGTGTTTACCAACAAAGCAAAGAAGGATAAAGAAAAAGTGAATGAGAAAACTCACAGTCACAGCAAATAGAACTTTTAGTCATGGCACAACTTTAGCATACCTCAGTCAACTGGCCTAATTAAAATTCTTCAAAAGAATTGTTGTGTTGTTTTTTACATTCGATTAAGCTAAGCAAATTTAAATGGTAGAAATATACTTCCTTGCAGAAAACTTTAAACTTCATCCCACCTACAAGTCAAATACAAGCCAGAGCAAACAATATGAACAGAAGAAGAAAATAGTATTACCCATCAGGAGATTCAAACCGGGCTGCAAAGGTTTTTGTTTTTGCCTTATCTCCATAAAGAGATAGTCCAGCACTGTAATCCTACAAACCCCAAGCACATTACTCAGCCAGTTGCAAATGATGAACCTTTTAAAATGTTGATTAATGTAGATTTATGTTCCTTCAATTACAAACTAATGATTTGTCCTCTTTTTTTATTCAATGAGAAACCACACTTTCATAGAGCAAACAAAAGAAAACAAAAATATGAACTAGAACTACGCAGATTAGAATCCACAAGCATTAGCAGAAAATAACCTTGAATTAAACATTCAACACTACGATTAAACAAACAGAAATCAGTTGGAAGAGGAAAGTAGAAAAGGCAGAGATAAACAGTGTTCATACAGATAAAACATCAGGGGTACTGTTGTCTATACCTCAGGCTCCGTGAGGTCTTCAAACTGAGGCGGCACCCGAATGGAAAACCCATCGCCATAGAACTGAAACCAAGACTTTGTGTTGGCTATTCCAGGAAGTCCCGGTTTCGAATTTGGCGAAGTTTCAGAGGATCGGGCAACTGGGCATTTGGGGATCAACGAGATTAGACAGAGCGAAGCTGTTTTGAGGATGAAATGTCTCTTGGATTGGGGATTCAAAGCTGTAGACTCGGGAAAGCCGACGGCGGCCTGCCGGGGGAAGGCGGAGGTGGGGTTTTGGGGAGGGTTTGGAGGGTGGAGACAGTGAGAAAGAAGAAGGGCCATAGGGAAATGAGGATAGCTTTCATACCCAATGAACAAAAAGGAGAGAAATAAAGTGGGATTATTTTATTTCAAGCAAAGATGTTGTTTAAAAAAAAAAAGATATAATCTTTGACTTTGACCAATCAAAAAACAAAGAAAAATAACTTAATACAATTATCCAAAATGTGCTCCCAGAGTTTTTTCATGGCTCTTATGAACTCTATCCATCCTCAGATTATTTGTCCCCACCAAAAGAAAAAATCCCAAATAAGCAAAAACCCAAACCACTCAATTTCTGATGGAAGGAACAGAGCTTCACCCCCGTTTCCTCTCTGTGTTCCATGCCTCACCATTTCTGAAGCTCTTCAAGTTCCTATGGAAACCATTCTCTCTCCCCACTCTCTCTCTCTCTCTCCTCTACTCAGCCCCAAAGCTTCCTCTTCCAAGAATCTCTTGCCCCATTCTCTGCAACCCAGGTCAAAATTTGTTTCTTTCTCTAAGCCCATTTCGCTCACCCTTAAAAAACCCTCTCCTCAGTCGCTCCGATCGTCTCTCCCAATTCCTTCGAATTGGTTCTCCCATCTCCAACATGGACTGGCCGCGCTGGCGATCTCTCTGGCGTTGAATTTCTCCCCATTGTTGGCCGGCGGTGGCAATGCCCTGGCGTCCGAATTCGATGTGCTCAGCGACGGGCCGCCGAAGGAGTCGCATCTGGTGGACGACGCCGGAGTTCTCAGCCGAGTCACGAAGTCGGATTTGAAGAGGCTGCTCTCGGATTTGGAGTCCAGGAAGAATTTCCACATCGATTTCGTCACTGTTAGAAAGCTCACTGTAAGTCACAAACGAGACAAACAAAACCCCGAATGCCCCTTTTCTTTGCTGTGATCCAAACCATAGAACCCAGATACAATATTGAAGCAATAACTTAAGTTTTGTTATTATGGGAAGAGAAAGCTACATTTTCACAGTGGAGAGATTTGAAAATCAATCTTAGATTCATCATATTGTTGTATGATCTCTGATATGAACTTATGAACTATTGGTTGTAGAGCAAAGCTGATGCATTTGAGTATGCTGATCAAGTTTTGGAGCGATGGTATCCCACTGTGGAAGATGGGAACAACAAAGGCATAGTTGTTCTTGTCACCAGCCAGAAGGAAGGAGCCATTACTGGTGGCCCTGCCTTTATCCAAGCAGTTGGAGAAAACATCCTTGATGCCACAGTAACAGAGAACCTCCCAGGTAAACTAACTGCCTCTTCTTCCACTTCTTTCACTCATGAATGTTGTGTCAAATCTGTCATGAACATTGAACAAAACTCCCATCTGAAGAAGCTGCTAATGCAATTTTCATCAGCCCCTTGCTGAACTTAAATTGTAACACATTACAACTAGTAGATTCCTGTCATGGTACTTGAAACCAAGTCGTCCTTGCATATAAGTATTTTGATATCGGGGAATAGAAAACCGTAAGCAAACTTGTACCAAGTCAGCATAGTTTGGATGCCTTAGTTGCTTAGACTACACCATACTGCAGACTGATTAAGATTGTTTGTTATGTAACTGCAGTGTTAGCTACTGATGAAAAGTATAATGAGGCGATATATAGCAGCGCGAAGCGGCTAGTCGCTGCCATTGATGGACTTCCAGATGCTGGTGGTCCGTCATTTAAGGACAATAAGCGCGAATCTAACTTCAAAACAAGGGAAGAGACAGAGGAGAAAAGAGGACAGTTTTCTCTTGTAGTTGGAGGTTTGTTAGTGATAGCCTTTGTTGTTCCTATGGCTCAGTATTATGCTTATGTCTCCAAGAAGTAAAACAAATATGTAAGAGCAGAGGCAGAGGCTGAGGCAGATGTTCCCATCTATTTCCTTCACATTCAAATGTATAACTTGATGTTGTACAAAGAGGGTTCTTACAAGATTATTTGCCACAAATCTGTTATAAAACAAGAGTTGAGTTGTTTCCAAGACCCCTTTCTTTTCTTTTTTCTTTTTTTATTTATTTTTCTATAACTAATGGCCTATCCCCTCTAATTTTTTAGTGACAAGTAAGTTTTCAACTTAGGAGCTTGAATCGAGGATCTTAGAAGGTAATAGGTCCTTCCTTACCACTAATTCTCTTGATTATAATTTTTAGGCTCCCAATCGGAATGAAATGTAATATCATTTCTGAACAAGATATATGATAATTCCTAGAATACCTTTTGTTATTTCTAACTAATTACAAATGACTAAAAAGTGTTAATATTATTTTTAATTAAAACAATATCAAATTTTAATTTATTTTATTAATAGTAAATACTTTTTATTATGATAATTTATTTAATATTAAAAAATAATAGATAATTAAAATATATTTACATCATCTAAAGAAGATTAATTCATTTTTAGTAGAACAACCCGTCGTAAATATAAATGAGTAACAAAAATAAAAGAGTACGACTAAAATGGTAAACAATTAATTAAAAAGTTATGAGTTCTATTTAATTAATATGAGTTCTATTTAATAAAGAGGAGAGAAATGAGAGTGGTAGAATTGTTACTAAAAATGTGTGGGACGCATCAGATAAGGAATGGAAATGAGATTAATAAAGTTGTAAGAGAAGTTGATAGGAATGTGATTATTCTAGGATTGGTTCCTAAGTTTGAGATGGGTCCACTAATTGATTAATAAAAAATTTTATTCTCATTTCTTGATGTTTGATAATTAAGAGAGAGAAATGCAAAAACATAAATATTTAAAAAATAATAATGAACTGTTAATTTTTCAATGGTGGTGAGCATGGTCTATGCCGATAATGAGCCAAGTATTCCTCAAATCTCTAAGAAAAGAGCAAAATGTCTTTTAACTGGCAAGTTAAGACGCATCATTTTGCACAGCTAAAAGCTCTTCAGAATTGCATGACTTTTGAGGTTTGCACTATATTGGAATAATCTCATCAAATAAAAATGGCCACATTTATTAGAAATGGAGAGATAGAGAGAGGAGCAGGCACTTTGGCCTCTATGCACTTAATTATTCAGCTGCTACACATGTACAGTGTTTACAATCTAAAAACAGAAGCCATAAAATGAATGAGCCTAATTATTTGATTTCATGTCTAAACATAAACGCATCGTTGCATGTTCAGATCTCAGTTTCAACCCCCAAATGAATGCTTACGTTTAGACATTATATAAATCAACTACCTAATCAAATGCAACCCAAACTAGAACTTGAGCTTCAGAAGATATGGCATTTTATCCGAGAAGGGTGGATCAGAATATTTTCCAGAGAGTATTTCTGATGACACATACTGATTTGCAGCCTCTGTATAATGAATTCCATCCCAATTTATGTACACCGAGCTATTGTCGCACCCTTTCGCCGTGACCCCCATCCCGTTCAACGTCTTTGTTTGCCCGCACCCGACTCGACTGTCGTAGTTGAGCGGTGGACCTCCATAGCCACAGCAAGCCATAATAGGCTGTTCAAAACCTGTCATAATGCAGCAGCAAGCAAGTCACCAAATTTGACAGGATTAAGTTCTTTGTGTCAAAATTACTCGTTCTATCATCACTACTCCCGAACACACTCTAAATCTAACACGGAAGTTCGGCAAGATGCTGACCCAATCGCGAATAATTGGCGATGAGATTCGATTTTATGGTATAGATATCAACATATGTGACGTTCCCATCTGAAAATTGGGCCTGCAGTTTTTTAGAGAGAGCATGAAGCTGTGAATTGAAGAGTTTAGCGGCTTGGTTGTGTGCACTGACGCATCCAAATTCATCAAGCTTCGATGGGTCAGTTCCAAATTTAGCAACATTCTGAGCCAAGCAACCTAGAGGACCTGTATTGTGAATCCAGAAATTCCTGGCCCCTTGGTCGTACAATCTCTGAAAAATAGGCAAAGTAATGAGCATAAATGTTTTGGCTTCACAACCATAAAGTTCATATAACATGCCATATACAATATTAACTTGAAAACTTTCACTTCCACTCCCATCTTGTTCTGTTTTCTCAATTTTTATTCGGGAGTACTCCAGTGTTGAGTCGTGGATTTTTCAACGGTGGTGAAAGACAAGATTTGGTAGTAAAAGTAACAAGTATTTTTTTATCTTTGTTTCCAAATCATTATTTGAATTAGGTTTCCCAACTTTTTTTTTTATCAAATTATTTTTATCATGTTATTTTTATTTTTTTTTGTTTCGTACTAGACTAATTTCATTTAAAGTAATGGATTGAGACATTTATTATATATAAAAAATTTTAGAAAGATATTTCCCAATCTAATTATATTTAATTATTACACATATCATTTTCTCCATTATTAGNTGATCCTGATAGTTGCACCCTTTTTATGATCAGATTTTGAATCTGTAACTGTGAAAAATATTGGTCAACTTTGTTAATATGTTATTCTGATACCTATTTATTTGTTTTTTTTTTCTATATTTTTTGTGTGGTTTTTTGAGAATGATGAGGAGGAAGTTTTGGGAAGTTTAGAAAATCAATGGAATTAAACAGTTTTGAGAAGATTTTGGAGATAATGCTCTCTTTTCTTTTTCGAATCTCTATTTTTCATATAAAATTTCTAAACTTGTATAAAATATGTTGAAACATGATAATTGTGAAATATGGGTTGAAATGCAAAGTGAACATTTAAGGAAAAAACTAATTGTTAACTCCTATACTTAGCTTTCACTTTAACTGAATTTTGAACATTCTTATCAAATGAAACATTAAGCTTCAAAATTGTCACGAACCAACTATCCAACAACTAACTAGGTAAACTTGATTAACTAAAAAAACACTGAGAATCAAATAATGAAAATGCTGTGGATCCAAACAAAATTATGATTGTACTGTACGAAAATAACTTAGAAAGAAAGCTTTGAATCTGACCTGAATTCCACTCTCGAATTCAGCTAAAATGGTGGGCACTGAGGCAAGAATTTGGTCCAGAGTTTTGGAGTAAAATGCACTGGCAAGGTCATTCTGGCCCATATCAAACATGTAAAGCCCCTTCTCAAAGTAGTCTTCCGCCGGTATGTACTTGTCAAATTTCTTACCATCTATTCAAACAAAAACAAAAAACATCACAAAAACAAACGATGATGTTAGATATCCAATATATAAATTAAATTTATCCAATCTATCTCTTGAATTGAGCAGTACTTTATTCATTCATTCGCTGAACCGTCAAAGCCATGCCAAAAATAGGAGTAAATAAGATAAGGAGAAAGTATTTTTTAGATGTACAAACAAAGACAGTTGCAGCTTCTGATCTATCTTATTCAGAAGAAAGCCTGACTCCGCTTCCTTCCTTATTTCACTTTTGCTTTAGGGACAACCTATTTCATGGGTTTCTCATCCTCGAGTACAGAGCTCTTTCCTTTCAGATCTTGCTTTCACCCCGTGCGGGAGATCTTGTGTTCGAACCTCTACATTACATTTATTATGATTTCGATTTGTTGGGTCTTGGTGCAATTTCTAAAGCCCACTAGCTTAGATATCCAATGTATAAATTATTGGTTAAAATATTCACTGTACTCTAAGTCTTAGTTCATTTTAGTCTTTAGCTTTTACTCTATCATTTTAACCCCTCCTTACAATACACTGTTACAAAAACTGTAATATTTACTTTTTAAAAAATATATATTAATTATAATATCGTGTTGAAATTGTGATATAAATAAAAAAAGATTAAAAATAAAATTAAAGAACCAGAATAGTCACTTTTTAAAAATACTAGTTAGAGAGACCAAAACAACTTTTAACCTAAATTAAATATAAGCTTAAGCTCTAACGGGTTATCTATTCGTTTTTAATGGATTATTGTTGTTTGATGATTCATAATGTTCATATACCTTTGGATGCTCGAAGCTCGAGAACCCTAGCTTTGAAATGGAGGAACTGGTTCACCTGAACCCCAAACGAAAAGGGGCTAAAAGAAAAGGGAGTCGCTGGTAGAACAGTAGAGGCTGCAGCTGCATAATTGCACCCCTTCCGAAAATTCGGCAGCCCAACGGAATCCAAATACGCATTCAGATAAGGCATATTCATCGCATCCACTGCACAAAATTAAACTTCAAGACATTAGCATCGATCAAGCAGCGTCGAAAACAGGAACAGAAAATTGGTGAAAAAATCAATGAAGATCTGAATCATCGAAAACAGGGAGGAAAATTACAGAGAAAATCAACAATGAGACGGCCATCGCAGTATCTGCCAGAGGGGTGGCCGAAGAATCGGTGGCCATAGGGCGGATTGATGGTCTCAAATCCGGCGCTAACAAGGCAACCGGTGTCGGAATTGGAGTCGCCGAAGTTGAAAACGGCGGGGCGATTGAAGGGGCTGGATCTGGCCACGCAAATACCGAGGAGGACGAAGATGAGGATGAGCAGAACGGAAGCGGTGACGGCCATGGCCGGCGGAACAGGGAACGATCTGCGGCTGCCCTGAGCCATCGAGGTCTCCGGTGGGTTATATATATATATGGGATTGGAATTTGGAATTCGGAATCGAAGCGTAGAAGCTTGAGTTGAGTGATGAGTGGGCAAAAACACAGAGAAATGAAGGAAGCAGAGCGTAGAAGCTCACTTGATTTCTTTGCTTGTGAACGAAGATACGGGCGGGAGATTCTTCGATTAGTTGCAGATAGTTGGAGTATCACATTTTCTGTTCAAATTTTATTTTGGTATTCTATTTTCTATATTTTTATCTTTTTTTATTTTAGCAGGTATATTCTTATTTTCTCAATATATATATATAGTCACTTATTTAAAAGAATAGAGATCCAATAGACTTTTTTTAGTACAACAAATATGGAATTTGGGATGTTGAATCAAAATTGAAAATTGAAAGTCCTATATTTAAACGTATAAGTTGAAAGTCCTATACTTTCAATGAACCAAAATTGAAAGTCCTATATTAACTAAATAGGCATGTTGAATGAATTAAAGTCGTATAAGTTGGCTAAGTAAAAATTAACCATTAGGTAACTAAATTCGACCATTATAAGAACAAAGGATGATGTAAGAATTAGCCGATATGAAGGTATGAAAACTGAAATGGACGAAAGCTAAAAGTATAGAGACCAAGACAAATATTTTGAAAATATAAAGATCAAAATGAACTAAAGTTGAAAATACAGGATTAAAAAAATATTTAAACGTATATTAATTAAAAAGACTTGTCGAATGTGTTAAAGTCGTACAAGTTGGTTGATGTAAGAATTAGTCATTAGGTAAGTTTAATGATTACAAGATGAAGAATTGAATAGCCAACTTTTAAAATTGTAATATTAAGTTATACTCAAATTGATGAATATTTTTATGGAATTAATGATTATATGAATCGAAAAAACCAACCAATTTTCACCTTTGAATTTGATGGGATAATTTATAGTACTACGATAATACTAATACTACTTCCATTCATTGTCAACCACATTAGCCTTATTTAAAAATGATGTGGACCTTCATTTGCGAGGAAAATTTTTTAGTGAGAGCAGAGGAGTGAGTAATAGAGAGTATTACAAAATTTATCCTTTTTTTTACAATTCCTTCCAATTTTATCTAATGACTTGAGTAATTGAATGGTTAAAGAAATATTCTTATATGAATTTAATGAATTATAAAATACATGCATAAAAAACAAGTTTGCAAAATGCATTCGATGGTTCATCTTTGTACATTAATTGAACTTAATTTTATATCACGCTTGATTTTCAGTGAAATGAGTGAATTTCAAGAGATTTTTATCTTGATTTTAGTTAAATTTAATAACAAGTAAATGTAGCAAAATTGAGCCTAGGATAACGCTTTGTCAATTTTTTTGTACACTTGTTAAAAGTTTATTATTAAATTTGATTATTTTTTTCTCAATAATTAAGAAGAATGTAACCTTCTTTACATTTTAACTTAAAATGTAAATTTTTTATAATATTTATTACTTAATTGTTTTTAATTATATTCTAAATTGAACGAAGGCATGTGAAAAAGAATTAGTGTTTAAGCCACTTGTAATTTTAATTTATCTACACATATGTACTGTGTTTGCAATCTAGAAACAGAATCCATAAAATGAATGAGAGAATTAATTATTTGATTCCATGTCTAAACATAAATTCATCCATTGTTAAGTCTCAAATCCCAAATGAATGCTTTAAATTTAGACATTATATAAATCAATTATCTAATCAAATCCAAGCCAAACTAGAACTTGAGCTTCAGAAGGAAAGGCATTTTGTCTGAGAAGGGTGGATCAGAATACTTTCCAGTGAGTATTTGTGATGACACATACTGATTTGCAGCCTCTGTATAATGAATTCCGTCCCAATTGATGTACTCCGAGCTATCATCGCACCCTTTTGCTGTGACCACCGTCCCGTTCAACGTCTTCGTTTGCCCGCAGACGATTCGACTGTCGTAGTTGAGCGGTGGACCTCCATTGCCACAGCAAGCCATAATAGGCTGTTCAAAACCTGCCATAATGCAGCAAGCAAATCATCAGATTTGACAGGAGTACTAACAGAGAAAGAGGCTAAATCTAACACAGAAACTGTACGGCAAGATGGCCAGACCGAGTCGTGAATAATTGGCGATGAGGTTCGATTTTATCGTGTAGATATCGACGTACGTGATGTTCCCATCTGCATATTGGCCCTGCAGTTTTTTACAGAGAGCATGAAGCTGTAAATTGAAGAGTTTGGCGGCTTGGTTGTGTGAACTGACGCATCCAAATTCATCAAGCTTTGATGGGTCAGTTCCAAATTTAGCAACATTCTGAGCCAAGCATCCTAGAGGACCTGTGTTGTGAATCCAAAAAATCCTGGCACCTTGGTCGTACAGTCTCTGAAAAATAGGCAAAGTAATGAGCAAAAATGTATTGGCTTCACAACAGTAAAGTCATATAATATATAACATCGCAATTACGGCTAAGTTATGTTGATGTTGGTTCTGAATGCACAAATATTTGGTCATTAAGAAACTCATAAAATTTACTATCCTAAACAAGTATCCATCTACCACCATGAGGCTGGTTTGGAAATAGTCGATTAATATTTCTATCAAATGCTATATGAAAATTTGAGATAGAATTTCCAGCAACCAACAAATGACACAAAAGTTCAACTTCAAAATTATGATTTTGCCAAAATAACTTGGAAAGAAAGAAAGCATGGTGTATGACCTGAACTCCACTCTCAAATTCAACCAAAATGGAAGGTATAGAGGCAAGAATTTGGTCGAGAGTTTTGGAGTAAAATGCACCAGCAAGGTCATTCTGCCCAATATCAAACATATAAAGCCCCTTCTGGAAGAAATCTTCGGCTGGTAGGTACTTGTCAAGTTTCTTAGCACCTACACAAACAAAAAGAAAAAGTTAGACGATAGGTTTATCGTTATTTGATCATTCATAATCTTCATGTTCTGTTCATACCTTTGGCTGCTCGAAGCTCAAGAACCCTAGCTTTGAAATGGAGAAATTGATTCACCTGAACCCCAAACGAAAAAGGGCTAACAGATGTAGCAGTGGCGGGAAGGACAGTGGAGCCGGCAGCCGCAAAATTGCAACCCTTCCGGAAATTCGGCACCCCAATGGAATCGAGATACGCGTTCAGATAAGGCAAATCCATGGCATCCACTGCAGAAAAAGATCGAAAGATTAGCACCCAAATCGCCGAAAAGCGGAAGAATCTCAAGTACCCAAAAGAGAGAAATAAGGGAAATGGGATATTGCAGAGATAATCCGAAGCATAAAAAGAGAGGGGGGAGGGAAAAGGGGGTGAAAATTACAGAGAAAATCGACGATGAGGCGGCCATCGCAGTATCTGCCGGAGGGGGTTCCCAAGAAGCGGTGGCCATAGGGGGGGTAGATGGTCTCAAAGGCGGCGCCGACGAGGCAGCCGGTGTCGGAGTTGGAGTCTCCGAAGTTGAAAACAGCCGGGAGAGAGAAATGGATGGATCTGGATATGGGGAGGCAGAGGAGGAAGAAGGCGAGGATGTGGAAAGCGGCCATGGGGGGCGGTGGATGAGAATGGGGACCGGCATTGGGATTATATGGGTAAGTGTAGAAGAAGAAATGGGCGTAGAAGCCATGGTTGGTAATGGTAATGGTGGGTCACTCTGTAGCAAGCAAAAAGACAGAGGAACCAACGGACAAAGCAACTGTGAAGGCAAAGCATATCGCTGTGCCTGTGACTTCATTTTCAATGTTTTCTTTTTAATTACAATGTATGGGTGGTGATGGAATTACGATTTTACCCCGTTAAGCTATGTCCATACTAACGACTTGTCTAATGAATTTTTAAACTTTGGTCCTCTAAATTTTTTATTTTGTGATTAATAGTTTTTTTTTCATGTTATACTTTTTTAAAGGGGCATTTACCTAAATAACATAAAATAAATATATATTTTCAAATGTAGCAGAAATTTTGAAACGGTGTGAAAATAGCATATCCAAATGAAACTCAAATTTAAATGTAATATAAAAAACAGAAAAATATTTAATAAAAATTTATGCTATCTAATATATTTTTAATAATTCAACGACCTTTTAGACACAAAATTAAAGCGTACCCTTAGACACAAAATCAATTTTTGTTTAATAGGTCTCTAGAATTTAAAAGATGCATGAGAAACAAAATTGAAATACCTTTTTAAATTTTATGGACCTATTAATAACAACGTTAAAACTTGAAAGTTTAGAAACTTAGGAGACAAAGTTTAGGAACCAAACTGGTAATTTAACTTTTCTCTTTTAATTTCATTTTAGTCCTCATCTTTTATATTCGATAATTGAACTTTTAATGTATGTGTATGTAGTGGGCATATATATGCTACACAGGTTCAATCAATCTCACATAGCAGTCTCTAAATCGTGTATGTTGTATGCGATTCTTGACTTTGACCACCTTATTTTTGTCGGTTGGTTTTGAAATTTCTTATTTAATTTATACATTTTTTTTCATTTTACTTTAAATTCTACGTTATTTTTGTAATTTATTTTTTGAATAATATTATCCTTAAAATTAGCCAGAAAATTGGTCCTACTGCCAAGTATTTTCCCTTTATAAAACATTTCAAACTATATGAATGAGATCGCCAAGTGGAAGCACATGCAAGAAATTAAGAGAGAGCAAATTGATAGTTAAAAATGGAGGGGAAGTTTAATTTACTTAGAAAATCAACGATGAGGCGGCCATTGCAGAACCTTCCAGACGAAGGAGTCTTGAAATAACTCTGTCCATAAGGCAAATCCAGGCTGAATCCCTCGCCGGCGACGAGCTCGCCGGTGTCGGAGTTCGAATCGCCGAAGTTGAACGCCGCCGGATAATCAGACACGGCGGAACCTGTTCCACAGCGGAAAATCGTCGAACACATTACGAGCATCAGCGGAATCATCGCGCAGAATTTGGTAAAACTCGCCATAGCCGATCGATTGACTTAATTTTTTCCGATGATGAAAGATCGTTTTTCCGGCGGGTTTTTATCGGCGGAGAAAGAGGTTAGGGTTTAATTTAAGGGAAGGCAAGATGAAAGGTCAAAGCAAAGGTTTCTCTTCGCCCAAATCCACACACAAACTCCCAAATTTTGCAGAGAATAAGAAGATTTTTAAGTTTCAGTCCTAATATTTTAATCTTATACTTTTTAAGGTTTTCATTTCATCTAATGTAATGTGACCGTTATTTATAAGTATTTAAAATAAATTTCATATCATATATACGACATTTTATTATTAATAATCAAAAGAGTGTGGCTCATTACTTTTACCATTTTTTTTAAATCAATGCTGGGTTGGATTATTATTTATTTATTTATTTTTATTTTAGTATGACATGTGAGAGTAGGAGATCGAAGTCATAATTGTTTGGTAAGTTGATAATAATTTTAAAAAACTAATCATAAAAGGACTAACTTGAAATTAAAGTTAAAAGTATGAAAGACAAAAATAAAATTGAACCAAAATTTCATATTTCAAGGGAGTACATTGAAGTTAAAATTTGAATGAAACTTTGCGAGAGAAGGGTCATTTTGCAAGCAAAAGGGGTTGTTCAAAATTTCCTCCAAGGAGCAATTTCTTTCTCTTTTCATTTTCTATTGTGATCACAAAGTTTTACATTTTTAAGTTGGAATCTATTGATGGGAAAATTGTTCTACTTTAATGTAAGGGTCTTAAAAAGGAAGAGGGAGAAAGAATTGTAAAGATGGAAATCTTTATAAGCTAAAAATTAAACATTTTTCTACTTTGAGAGGTTTTATATGGTGGAAATTTAAGGAGATATATCATGAGTGTCTTTGGAGAAATAATATGGGGTAAATTATATACCTTAATTAGTTGGATGGTGTGTATTTTAATTAATATATCAATTTGGCCCATTACTTTTAAGATTTTAATTACAATTTATGAAATCAATTCTCTATGACATTTATTCCCAGTGATTTTCTCTTTATTATTGTATGTTTATTTTCTTTGATTCTATTCTATCGTTCGAAATTAATTCTAGTACATGAGTGAATTAGAAATCCTATACAAAGAATGATATCGGCAATTACTTACCTTCTATATTAAGACTTTGACTCATACACTTGCTTCTAATCATCACTAAAAATTTGACAACTCTTTATTCTTTTTAACTTTCAGATCGACACCTATCTTTGTGCTGCAATACAAATTTAACAGTTTTGAAAAACATAAAAAAATTATCTATTTTTCTACCTTTCTCCTTTTTTATACTTGCCAAAATTTAATGGTGGTCAATAAAAGATGGACGCTGACCGATAATTAAGTACGTAAGAATTGTTCATTAAAAAATCTGCTTGAAGTAGATTAAGTACGTGTGTCCAATTAAAATTAATCATACAAAGTATTATTACATTATCATTTACCATGTCCCATCAATTTTTTGTCTAATGTCAGAATGAATAATGAGCATATATAGAACTATTTTCGAACCAATATGAGCCAACTCACAATCATTGAAGCTATACCCCAATTGAATCAATTACAATTTAGACGTGTATGTAGTCAAATGCAGGGCAAACTAGAGCTACAACTTGCGGTTGACAAGGTAAGGCATTTTGTGTGGTGAGAATGGTGGATCAGAATACTTTCCAGTGAGTATTTGTGATGAAACATACTTATTTGCAGCCTCTGAATAATGAATCCCATCCCAACTGACGTACTTGGAGCTGTCGTTGCACCTTCCCACCGTGACCACCGTCCCGTTCACGGTCTTCGTCGAGCCGCATCGGAATGTGTTGTCGAAGTTGAATGGTGGACCTCCATAGCCACAGCAAGCCATAATAGGTTGTTCAAAACCTGCCAATGCAACAATGTTCAACACGGACAATGAGGCTAAATCTACACAGAAGTATTGCAAGATGGCTGACCCAATTGCGAGTAATTGGCTATGAGATTCAATTTGATCGTGTGGACATCGACGTATGTGACGCTCGCATCGGTATATCGAGCCTGCAGCTGTTTGGAGAGAGCATGAAGCTGTAGATTGAAGAGTTTGGCGGCTTGGTTGTGTGAACTGATGCATCCAAATTCATCAAGCTTTGATGGGTCAGTTCCAAATCTAACAAGATTCTGAGCCAAGCATCCCAGAGGACCTGTGTTGTGAATCCAAAAATTCCTGGCCCCTTGCTCGTACACTCTCTGAAAAATAGGCGAAGGGGATTACCAAGTAAGGACCATAAATGCCAATATCATATTCCACAGAGAAGATTAACTTCAACCTTCACACCGTCATTGTAAGTTTCTTGAAGTCTCCACAAATCTCTTTTAAATAGTCTTTCTATATTATTCTTAGAGATGGTAAATATAAATATAAAAAGATGCTATATCTTAAACTTTTCCCTTAAGCTCCAAGGGATTCTAGAGAAAGAATTATCTAGAATATGTAAAGTTTAAGGGGAGTCCATAGAAATTTTTTTGCTTGGACTCAAAGGGTCTTTCTCCTGTAAGTAGGAGATCAGATGTCTCTGTAACTGAGTGAATAAGGTGAAGTGAATATAGAAAGTGAAGAAAGTTAAAAAATGTGAGAAAGCCTTCTCTTAAAAAGTGTCCATATTCATACTTTCATAATAAAAGTTTCTTAATAAAAGTTTCTTTCTTCAAGTGATTGTCTCTTTCTTTTCGTGCTAATTTCTTCTACAAGTGGTAACTAAACTGCAGTAGTTTATTCAACACTCACCTAATTATGTTTTCTCAAATTTTGTCCCTATAGATTTCCATCTTTTTTTCCCCTCAAATGTGTGCCTAGATCAACTTACACACGTCGACTATCTCATAAAATAATGGTTGAATCTATAATATTTTATTGTTAGAAAACTCGAAAGATTTTAATATATTATGTGGCCACCGACCACCAAAGATTCATATAGAAATAAATTTAGAGATAGTGGCTTAATATTTCTATTCAATGCTATACAAAATTTTTAACGAAAAGATTCATTGCTCCTCTGAATAAGAGTGAGATTAATATATACATCATCAAAACTAATTTGAAAAATCATCACCAAGAAGTAAGAACACAATTAAATTAAACAAAATTCAGCTATCAAAATACTCGAAATGAAGTTGTAAATATGAAAGTATACAAATGCAAGTAAAAAGAGGATCCAAACTAAATTAAGATTGTGGGAGAGTAATATAGAAAGAAAGCATTGAGAATCTGAATCTGACCTGAACTCCAGTCTCAAATTCAGCTAAAATGGAAGGTATGAAGGGAATAACTTGGTCCAGAGTTTGGTTGTAAAATGCACGATTAAGGTCATTCTGCCCAATATTAAACATATATAGCCCCTTCTTGAAGTCATCTTCTGCTGGTAGGTACTTGTCAAATTTCTTACCACCTAAGAAACAAAAATCACAAAACAGTTTTGTTCTCTCCCTGATTAGTAAAATTCCAATGGTTTCTTTTTAATTCACAATCTTAGATGATTATCAGATTAAATTACAAGTCTCGTCTTTACACTTTTGGATTTGTATTAGTAGAGTCCATTGTTTTTAACAAAAAGTGTCTCTATCCTAATCAAAAGATAGGAGGACACCCCTTCGCTTAAAGTTACGACGAGTCGTTTGTTGGGTTCCTCCAACATGGTTCTCTCAAGCTCACCCCAATATATTCTACTTTTTCACCAATATCAGTTTGGAGTAAGGTAAACTCACTGGAATTTTCAAGACTCGCAATACAATAACGCGACTTGAATAGAGAAAAATATTCATATTATTTGCATTGACTTACCCATTTGTTTATTAAAAAACAAAGATAGACATGTTTGCTTACCAAATAAATTTCTAACTCAGACTCGAGCCTCATGTGAATGCTACCACTTGAAGAGACTGACTTGCGTAATAAATGTCTAATAACTTTCTGAACTTTTAATTCTATATCTAATAGATCCTAAATTTTAAAAAGTATCAAATTTCTAACCTTTCAATTGTGTGGATTTTAAACTTCATGTCTAACTATTTGCACGTGGGATAAGACATTAAACCTCCAACGAAAAAGAACAAGATGCCTTAATCGTTGAGTTCTGCTCACTTTATAATCACTAATTTATTACACGTCATATTTAATAACAGCAATTTAAACCTATCGGCTACTTTTTTAAAGTGTCGAGGGAGTGAGGTAGCAAATTTAATCATGATCATATATCCATACCTTTGGCAGCTCGAAGCTCAAGAACCCTAGCTTTGAAATGGAGAAATTGATTCACCTGAATGTTTAACGAGAAAGGGCTAACAGATGTAAAAGTGGGAGGAAGAACAGTGGAGCCGGCGGCCGCATAATTGCAGCCCTTCCGAAAATTCGGTAACCCAATGGAATCAAGATACGGCGTCAAAAAAGGCATGGCCATCGCATCCACTGCAGAACCAAAAAAAAAACACATCGATCAGATCAGAAGAATCTCGAACATTGAAGAACAGAGAGAAAAACAGAGGAAACAGGGGAAATTATCGGATATTGCAGAGAAATACTGAGAAAATCGATGACGAGACGGCCATCGCAGTATCTGCCGGAGGGCTTTCCGAAGAAGAGATAACCATATGGAGGATGGACGGTTTCAATTCCGGCGTCGACGAGGCAACCAGTGTCGGAGTTGGAGTCGCCGAAGTTGAAAACGGCCGCCGGAGACGAATGGCTGGATCTCGCAATCGGAACGCAGAGGAGGAAGAAGAAGAAGAAGAAGATCTGGAAAACCGCCATTAGCATGAGCGCCGAGAAATTACAAGGGAAAATTAATTTCAGTTCAGCAAAATAGGAAAGCTTACTGTTGCTGTCACTTGATTATCATTTTGAATGAATGCCCAACGCCCATCGCACGGGTGGGTTTCTAAAGATAGTGCAATTTTTCTAGCACCCAATTCTTTTTCATGTGATGGGAGATTCAATTTCCTTTTCTATAAATTCTCATTTCGCACCAAAGATAAATTATATGACATGATTTCAAATCTTGTTTTCACAAATTTTAAATTAAATTACTTACATAATTTCGTAAAGTTTTTATAATTTTTTTTCCAACTAACTCCTGAATTACAAAGAAATTTAATTATATTCCTTTCAAATAATTCTTATTTTTAGGATTGAATTCGACTAAAGTATAAATTTGTGTTTAATAAGTCTCTAGGTTTAATTTTGCTAGTTAACATAATTTCCCACCATTAAGGAAGCATTTTTTTTTGTTTCTTTTTGCTTTGTATTGGAATAATCTCATGGATAATTAACAATCAACACAAAAATATAATTCAAATTACATAATTTGTCTAAACTAAACCGATAACAACTCATATTTTTTTTTCCTTCTCTATTATATACTTCAATGAGTTGAACCGACCGGCAAATATGTTTCAGAACCAACTCAGGTTCGGTTGTTTTCATCGGTTTTCTCCGCTTTTCGGTCTGGCTCCCACCCCTAACTCTAAGCAGTACTCCCAAGAATAGGTGGATAATAATTCAACACCCTTATGCTTAAAACACTTATACATCTTTTATTTAGCTACACATAGGTACTGTGTGCCTGCAATATTGTAGAAATAAAGGCCATAAAATAAAAGAGAGAATTTATTTGATTCCATGTCTAAACCAGCTGGTTGAGGTTGTGTGATGAGAAGGGTGGATCAGAATATTTTCCGGTGAGTATTTGTGACGACACATACTTATTTGCAGCCTCGGTGTAATGAATTCCATCCCAATTGATATACTTTGAACTGTTGTCGCACCCTTTTGCCGTGACCACCGTCCCATTCAACGTCTTCGTTTGCCCGCACCCGACTCGACTGTCGTAGTTGAGTGGTGGACCTCCATAGCCACAGCAAATCATAATAGGTTGTTCAAAACCTGACACAATGCAAAAAGTAGCAAAAAGTTTTTTGCAGACATGATTAGCACCACATTTCTTTTTTGTTTTTTTAGTACAGTAGTGAGGATGAGTATTCGAACTCACGATCTTTTAGTCAAAGATAAATAGATGTCTAAATCGATTAAGCTATTTTCAAAATATTTTTACTCATTCAAAAGCACTTTAAAAGACAGATCAAACACACACACTAAAATGAACAACGGGAGCGATAGTACAAGATGTTGACCTAGTTGAGAATAATTTGTGATGAGATTCGATTTGATCGCGTAGATATCGACATATATGACGTTGCCATCTGCAAATTGGGCCTGTAGTTTTTTAGAGAGAGCATGAAGCTGTGTATTGAAGAGTTTAGCTGCTTGGTTGTGTGAAATGAGGCATCCAAATTCATCAAGCTTTGATGGGTCAGTTCCAAATTTAGCAATATTCTGAGCCAAGCATCCTAGAGGACCTGTGTTGTGGATCCAAAAATTCCTGGCCCCTTGCTCATACAATCTCTGAAAAATAGGGAATAACGATCAAGTAAAGATATTGTTAAATATATGGGGATTTAAATACTATCTTCACCTCTATATTTTTAGTTGGGGTTCATTTTAGTTCTTATATATATTTTTAATTTTTGTTCATTTAGTATCGGTATTTCTTTCTCGTTCTTGTACTTTTTTAAAAAGTGACTTTTTTTTTATCTTTTAATTTTTATTTCGTTTATTCCCATTAGAATTATTTTAGCTTCCGCTAACTAAATTTTTTGAAATGCAATCATAATGCTGCGCGTGATCAGAGTGTGACCTGAAGACCAGCTTCAAACTCAGCTAAAATGGTGGGTATGGAGGCAAGAATCTGATCCAGAGTTTTGGAGTAAAATGCACCAGCAAGATCATTCTGCCCAATATCAAACATGTAAACCCCCTTCATGAAGTACTTTTCCACCGGTAAAAACTTGTCAATCTTCCTATTACCTGCACCAAACAAAAAAACACACACAAAATTGTTCATAATAATAATAATAATAATTAACCGATGTTTTAAGTTGATTAGTAATTTAATCATATTTAAAATGATATCAAACCCAGTGAACTCACAGCTCCCTTAGACTGTATTTTTAATATATTATTTCGTCTCCATATTTAACATTTGATTTCTAGTGTACCTTTGGCTCGAAGCTGAAGAACCCTAGATTTGAAATGGAGGAACTGGTTGACTTGAACCCCAAACGAAAATGGGCTAACGGATGCAGCCGTGGCCGGAAGAACGGTGGAGCCACCGGCCGCGTAATTGCACCCCTTCCGAAAACTCGGATTCCCCACCGAGTCCAAATACGACTTCAAATATGGCTTCCCCATTGCATCCACTGTCCAACACCATCAACAAAAAAACAAAAAACGTACATAAAATGAAAAAACTTCGCTTTAAAATAATGTCTAATAAATATCTAAACAATTATATACCATTAGCAAATCTCTAAATTTTTTTATTTTGTATATAACTGGTCAATGATTGTTTAAACACAAAATTTCATTAATTTAGACACATATTAGATACTTCTAAAATTCATGTCGTAGTCAAGAAACTAGTATCTCTTCCCCGTATTTAGTTTATGTAAATAAACAAACTTTACTTGTTTAAAAAAATAATAATAATAAATAAATAAACAAACTTTACATTATGATATTACTTAAAAGTACGTTTCATACTAAAAAATTAAATTAAATTACTAAGAAATAATTAAAAATTAAAAATTAAGTAATTAGAATTTATTAGGTCTAACCTATAGGTTTTCTAATAATTAATTTAATAAAGAATAATTAGTAATAATTAATTAATTAATTGCTCAAAACATTAGTTAACTAAATTAGTTATCTTTAATTACAATTCACTCTCATGTGCAGAAACCCGGAAATTGATATGTTTTTATGGTTATTGGATTTAATTTTTCTTTTAAGTAAGAATTAGAATTTGAACTCACAACCTTTCAAGGTTGACAGATTTTTTTAAAAAAGTTATAATATACAAGACACACATAATTATTTAATATTTGTTCTAAACCTATGAAATAAATCCAAGAAAATGTTATATAAAAGCATAAAATAACTCGAATTATTTTTGAAAAAAGAATTTTAAACCCTACTTTAATTAGTTTATCAATTCAACTTCTCAAAAATATTATGTTTTACTCTCCAAGTCTCTAATTAGCTCCTAAAATTTGTGTAAAACAAGTATTTCTTTATTTGTTTTGCATCTTTTTTTTTTTAACCTTTTCAACATTTAAGACACATTTTGGAAAGAAAAAAAAAACAGTTTCCAAAAACTTATTTTTATTGTGAAATTTGACTAGAGGTTTATATGCTTTTTATAAAATGTGAAAATATATATTAAAGAAATTGTGAGCAAAGAGAATAATTTTTAAAAACAAAAAATTTGAAAACTACTAGAATATGATACATTTCAAAACTCAAACATCACAAATACCTCTTGTCGACATAGGTATTAATTCATAGAGTGAATGAACGAAATATTATTGGGTTGAATTTTATCATATTCTTTAAAATAACTAATTATAAAAATGACCAAAATGTTTTTTAAAATACAAAATTCAAAGTAAAAACTATTTGAAAGTTAAAAAATAGGCAGAAATTGGAAGAAGAGTTTGAAGAAGTTTACTGAGAAAATCAACGATGAGGCGGCCATCGCAGAACCTTCCAGACGAGGGAGTCTTGAAGTAAGTTTGTCCATAAGGCAAGGCGAGGCTGAATCCCTTGCCGGCGACGAGCTCGCCGGTGTCGGAGTTCGAATCGCCGAAGTTGAACGCCGCCGGATAATCGAACACGGCGGAGCTTCCACAGAGGAAAATCGTCGAACACATTGTGAGCATCACCGGAATCGTGAAGGATTCGGTAAAAATCGCCATGCCTGCCTGAATTAGCTTGAAAGTCGTTTCTCCGGCGGATTTTTATTGGCGGAGAAAGAAGTTAGGGTTTAATTCAAGGAAAGGTAACATGAAAGGTTAAAGCAAAGCTTTCTCTTGCGCTGAATCTAAATCCACACACAAAATTTCATCGCCATAAATTGCAGAGAACTCGATTCGAAAATGGCAGTTTTAAGGCAGCAAAGACTTTGGAAGAAAATTTCGAGTCTTTGAAGACGTTATACGTTCACCTTATTTACAATTTAGTCCCCGCGCCTTTAAAAATTGTAATTTCATCTCTAATTTACCGATCTTGAAATCTATTTTAAATATTATTTTAGTACTTTTTAATTTAGTTTATTTTGATCCTAAACCTATATTTATTTTGGTCTTTAGTACTTTTAGTCGGTCATTTTATCCTTATTTTTATCTCATTTTTTTACGTCATAATTTTAGCAAGATACTTCACTCACTACCTTTTTGGAAAGGTAATCATAAATTTGTATTATTAATATATATATTGTGTTAAAATTTTATAAATAAAGATCAAATTAGTCACTTTTAAAAAAGTATAGAGACCGAAGCAGATCTTAAAAAAGTACAAAATTTAACAGTGCACGAACCAAAATAAAAAGTACAGAAATAATTGTAGTTCTCATACTTGACTGATGAATTAAAAAAATCCTCACACTCAACCTTAGTTACAAGTTAATTAATTTCTTTACTTAACAATTATTATTATTATTGTCTCAGCCCTTTGATTAAAGTTTATTCAACGATTTTGCAAATCAGTAAATGTAATCTAATACGTAATAAATTATTTATGGATAATGAAATGAGTTTCAGTGACATTTTATTTTAAGAATTTAGGAGTGTGGCAAAAGAAAAAAAACATACACACACTCATTTGAGTTGGGTTTAAAAACATTATATATATATTAAATCTAGACTAAAAAAGAAAATGATTTTAGAGTGTTAACGTTGGTTTGGGATGAAACAATTTGATTTTTGTTGCTCCTTATTAATGACGGTCCAAAAAGTTTGAGAAACTTTAATTAAACCATAGATATAGGGCGTAACGTGATTAATAAAATTTGAAAAAATATAGAAACTAAATTGTAATAACAAAAAAGTTCAAAATGGGGAATTTTGAAATTTTTAAAAGTGTAGATCGACTAAAGTTTAAGTTCAACAAAACTTTGCCATAAAAAAGGTAAAAGAACATTTTGCAAGCAAAACAGTTGTTCAAAATTTCCTTCCAAGGGCCAATTTCGTTCTCTTTCTTTTTAATTTTCCATTGAGATAACAAAATTTATTTACGTTTTTAAATGGAATCTAAATGGGGGAATTATTTTGCTTTAATTTAAGGGTCTTAAAAAGGAAGTGAAAGAAACAATTGTCCAGATGAAAATCTTTATATGATAATAATCAAAACAAATTTCTATTTTGAGGCTTTCTTAGGGTGTAAATTTAAGGTGATATACTATATATAAAAGTGTGTTTTTGGATTTTTCGAAAAGAAAAAGCGTGTTTTGGATAAATGTTTAATTATATATTTAGTTGGTATATTTTAATTAATATATCCCTATATATACTTCTTTAAATTTTAATTTTAATTTTGATCCATAAAGAGTTTACCAAACATCTTTAATGTCATTGAAAATGATAGAAATACAGCATGGCCAGATTATTTGTGAATATGACATGTAAGAAATCCTTTTTTTCTCATAGTTTGATATTATACATGGTATTAGTTGCATATTTTTTCTAATAAGAGAAATTTTTATGGTGAAAAATTGATTTTGTAAGTGGATAGAAATTTCGATGGTGTAAAATCTACTGTTTGATTCTAGTTAAGGAAAATTGAGTAAAATCTTATGATTGAATCATTTACGTCTCTACCTTGTTTGATAGTTATTTTGTTTGAAAAATGGATATGATGATTAAGAGTAGTTACCTGACAACATTTGAACCCATGAATATAGGCATAAGTTTTGATCTCAAACGTCACATCACTCAACATTGGAAATTATAAGCAACATCGATGATAATATCGAAGTTCTGTCCCAGGCACAATCTATGAAAAATTTAAGCTTAGATATTGATATTGGTAACAATACTTTAGTTCAAATATGTGCATGAGTTTAACTTTTTAAAAACACATAATCGAACTCGAGACATCCTAATAATTGATAGGTTGACATTGATACTCAAAATTAGGTTTAATTGGCCAAAGATCCTACAAGTACATTCAAATGAACAAGGGCTACGATAAAAATTGTGTGGGCTATCTTTTATCCAATCTCTTAGTACAATAATTCACTAGTCAAACCAATTTTCAATATTGAACTAAGTACTAAGCTCACTTTGACTTGGTACCCATAATCTAATAGAAGATAAGACATGTCTTTGCTCAATGTCCATGTTCCTCAACTCAACACATGATATATGGTCTCGTTCTTACATGGTCACTTAACTCGCTTGACCACTAGATCTCATTTATCATGCATAATACTCTCATCTACACAATTCACACTTGTTTTTATCCAACCTTATCTATATCCCTGACATTTAGTTATATGCCTTTATAAAAAATTGAGCTCAAACGATGGATCAAGATATTTCATTTTGTATTCTCTATTGAGACTCTATTGACAATTTTCATCTCATTTGTCACAACACTGAAGTTGTGACAAATAAGGAAGAAAAAGATAAGCTAGATAAAAAGAAACGACGAAGAGATAGAGAAAATAAAAATCATATGTACATAAGCGAATTATAATATGTAATTTTATATTTTATATTACAAAAAATAAATCAGAACATAACTCAATTGTTAAAGACGTTAAAAGATTGCTGACCTTAACGTTTGAACCATCTATCTTGAACTAAAAGAAGGTTATGGGTGATGTTAAAATCTCTGCTAGTTTGGTCCCTATACTTTCAACTTTTGATTCATTTTAGCTGGTCTTATTTTTCAAAATGTTCGTTTTGGTTTGTGAACTTTAGTTCATTTTTGTCCCAGTACTTTCGAAATGTTCATTAGAGTTTTTGATATATGTAAAATTTGTGTTAGAATTTTATAAAAATAGACTAAAAAGATCACTTTTAAAAATTATAAATACCAAAATAAATATTTTAAAAATACTGGACTAAAATAAATCAAATTAAAAGGAGAGCACCAAAATGAACATTCTTGAATACCGACTAAAATTAATTGAAAATATGGAATCAAAATAATATTTTAGTTAAAAAAAGAGAGAAAACAAAAGCGAGCCCAAAATTTGCCCAATAATATTAGGATTTGGCCCTTTTTTTTCTGTGCTCGCCATCTCCCATACGATCCATCGCCTGAGGAATTCTGTACCACACTGTACCATGGCGGAGGAGTTCGGCATCGAGGTCTGTGTTTCTCCAAGCCTCCATCTCGTCTCTGCTTTCCTCGCCATGGAGCCAGCTGATTCCTTACTTTCCATGGCCAGGTACCACTCCAAAACCCCACTTAACTTCAGCCGATAAATGCTCTCTCAAACAACACCTTACTCCAGAGCGCGCTTCCTATTTCTTTGCCCACTTATAGGAGTTTTAATATCCTTTTCAGAAGTGGAGGACACATTTCTTCTCGATTAGTTTATTGGGGTTTCTCATAATCGAGATTGATGGGTTTTTGTCTCTTTTAGGGAATTGGGTGGCGGGTTAGTGACCGAGACAGTGCAGAAGTTCATCTGGGATCATTGCATTAGCAAAGCTGTAGAGATTCTAAACCATTTGAGTTCCATTTCATTGTTTGAATTGAATTCAATATAAAACCTCTGCTTGCTTAGCTCATTTGAAATTTAAATTTTGTTGCTTCCCAAGAATATGGTTGTTATTGGCCTTTGTTGAATTGGGTTCTAGTGCTTTCTGCTCTCTTAATAACATTTGGCGCCTCTATTAACTTATTTTGCTGTTTCCTACTTCTGGTCAGCAAGAAATGGGCAATTTTCATGTACCCTATCTGAAGAATTTTCTGAAGAAACTAATATCTGAAGTTGAATCAAGTCAAGTTGAAGTGTTAGATGAGTTCTATGAATTTTATGCTCATTACATGGTTTCATGGACGGTAAGCTACTGAAGAAGGAGAAACTTTTACACTGAATCATTTGCATATGAGAATCCCTTGGCTCTCTTCCTTTGCTTGTGAATGATGACTAAGAGTTCTTGTTTGATAGGATGAGAATCTGGGCAAAGAAAATGCAAGGATTTACAAATTTATTTCTTTTCTTTTTCCAGATGGTAAATATTCTCTTCATTTTAATTTTGTAGTCGACAATTTATTTTTGCTTAGCTGCTTACAAATATTGAGTTCAACTGTTTATTTTAGGTTCTTCAAGTTGCCAAAAGTTGAGGAAATTTATGGTACCACTACAATGCTCCCTCAACATGCTTGAAGGTGATACAGGGAATGCTTCACACTCACAACTTTGTTTAAGTTATCTTATTTTGGTCATTTGTTAGCATAATAATTTGTGGGGGATTTTGATCTTTAAATTACTTGTTATTATTTATCTGATTTGCATTACTCATTTTCAAACGTTGTGTTCATGTATGTTACATGTATTGCTATACTTGGAATATTCCTTTACCTCATTGATGTGCATTTGCTATAAGTTATAGCTTATAGGTTGATCAACAATACATAATATATTTCATGCATTTCTTTTCTGTTAGGGATAATATGCAGATTCCAATCTTTAATACAATGTTTACAACTCTAGAAAATTAGTAACTATTTAATTGTTATATTAAGTTCGAATAATCTTGCAAAGTTGTTTCAAGTTAGTTGTACTTTGTGTGATAACAGGTGTTCAATCTGGCCTTCAAGTCTATATCTTTCAGAATTGATACTCTCCTTTCCAGATATTTTCTCTACAAGAAAATGTTTTGAGGTAAAGAAGTATGTTTTTTCTGCCTTAAATCTAGTCCAACGTTCCTTACTTTTGCAATCTGAACCGTGGAAATTAGATCCCTTGATGATCGGCCATGATACGATTAAGTTTTTTCATCTTTTTTATTACTATTTTTAAAATAAGAGATATATACCAATATCATTTAAGTACTTTCATGTTTACACTGGCTATTCTGTGTAAGCATAGTTTATTCTTCAACCTTACTAATTAATTCAAATCTTTAAGGGATGCTGGGCTCATGGTTTTAGTAAGTTTGAGTTTATGAAACCTGGGATTGAGAAGTCCAAATTTGTGTTTAGATTGTACAAAAGAATATACTGTAGAAACTTATGTTTGTGTAACCTGTACTTTGCAAGTTTATGATTTGTAAAAAGTTAGTTTGCAGTATCAAAGATAGGTTTCATAACTTTAACTTATGTAGCTGATGTGATTAATATATTCATCATAGCTTGAGATAAATACCCTCATGGACCAAAAATAAGCTCGACTTTTTAACTCTAGGTTACATAAACCTAGCATTTTGATCTATGAACTATGGTTCGAAAGAAATCAAAGAGTCTTCGAAGGCAAAAGTCGTTCCTCAGTGGATTGTTTTTCAATAGCTAAGTTCAAGGCTTCACAATGGTGCATTCATTCCAATCTATTCTCCTAGCATGTTATGTATGAATTGGGAGGCATTTATAACTCCCCAGTCGTGACTCTTCTCTTTCTCTTTGCTGTTTTTTACTTCCAGCTTTCAGTCTTATTTTTTTTCATTCCATTTGGAGTTTGTATCCTTGAACAATTTTGTTCCTTTTCATTAAATCAATGAAAAGTTCGTTTCTTGTTCAAAAAAAAAAAAATAAACCTAACGTTTTGATCCAAACACCTCAGAAGATTTCCGTAATTTTTCTTGCTATGTTTTACATCAATTTTTTCTTTTAAAACAGGTTGGTTCAGGTGTGGGTTTGGTTGGAATCTGCCTTTCTCACGTCAAAACATCAAAGGTAAGTTATTGGAAAATTTTGATTGGTTAGTACAATAAATCTTACTTTTTACATTGACCAAAAGCTTCAACTTGCCTTAAAGTTGACAACCCTCTGTTTACACAGATAGTGTTAAGTGATGGTGACCCATCAACATTAGCAAACATGAAGGTTAATTTAGAGTTGAATGGCTTGTGCTGCCTCAGCTCTGCAACTGCTACACCAGAAAGAACAAGTGAAGATTTTAAAACTGTAAGTGCCAATTATGAGGAATTCCATTCTTGCTTTTGGCTCTTTGCAGCCCTTTATGTCTTTGCATGATTCTTCCATACCTAGGATCCTTGTTATATTTTCAAATTCATTTTCTTTCCTTTTTTTTCCTTTGTTGGGGAGGGGGGACAAATTTTCTGTTGAATGTGGGTGGCCTTCATGTGGCAGTTCATAATGAGATAAAAATATGAATCTCTCAGGTGGAATGCATACATCTGCCATGGGAAACAGCATCAGAAAGCGAACTCCAAGCTTTTGCACCAGATATTGTGTGAGTCTCTACTTTATGACTTCATATACTTCTCTTTCTGTACAAAAAATGTGGTATAATTGGTTACTGGTGAAGTAACCAATGTACATTTCAATCTATTGAAAACGAAAAAAAATGACTCTGCTACTTAGAAATGAAATGTTCTCGAAAATACTCCTGTTGCAGGTTAGGCGCTGATGTAATATATGATCCAGTTTGTCTCCCGCATCTTGTTCGTCTTCTTTCGATTCTTTTGCACCCGAAGCAAAATGATAGTTCCACTCTATATTTTTCGAGGAGTGAACATGTTGATGATGCAAATCATGGAAAGGAGGTAGATGATGGAAGCAAATTGTGCTGCGATGGTTTTGTGAGTTTTGGTTCGAGGGATCGCCCAATGGCTTTCATTGCTTCCGTAATTCGCAACATCGACACGTTTAATCATTTTCTGGGTCTCGTAGAACAGGCTAATCTTAGTATCTGTGATGTAACGGATGAATTTAAACCCTTGAATTTACTTCCTTACATGTACTCTTACAATAGATCAAGTATTAGATTGTTTACTCTGAAATTCAAGTAGCTTTCTTTGTTAGATTGATTAATCTTAGTATCTCTTTTAAATGTTTATTGTAAAAGAAACAAGAGTGGGGAGTTATAGTTTGATCTTTGAAGATTGATTTAGTTCCATTCCATGACAAAAGTTTACAACTAGTTGGATATTCAGCTTTGTTTTCTACATCTTTCAAGTGATAAGCACTTGAGAGAGACTTTTTTTTTTTTTTTTTGGTTTCAATTTATTTTTATTTTTATTTATTTTTTGTACGTATTTATTTTTAAAGGCAGTTGTTTTCTATTCAAATGACTCGAAAGATTAATGAAAAAAATATATTGATGTCTTCATTTGGAAGCACAACACATAAACAGACAACACGACATTTATAACAATGAATTCTACTTTAAAAGGCACACAATCAAAATATAAAAAGATTGGTTTATGAAACTTCTTTTACCCACCAGATAAAAATAACCAAAGGTGAAAGTTAGAAGTAAATTAAAAAAGAAAATAAAAATCACTATCACTCTTTTAGTTTGAAAGTTTTATACTCTTTTCAATTATAAACTATGAAATCTTCTATTTTTACATATGAAGAATGGTGAGTTTGAAAATAATGGGAATTTGACCGATTTGACCTAAAAATGTTTTAGGTTGGCTCAAATGACCCAAATTCAGATTTTTCACTTATATAACCCAATTTCTCTTTTGCTTACAAATCAAGGTCCGTGAAATGACGAAACTGCCCCTGCTTTATATAAAAAACCTGACAATGTATAGCTCTAAAAAAACTCGACGGAGATCGCATAGAACTCGACGGAGTTTTTAATATATTTCACTAACCTAGATTTTATTAGTCACCAACCTCTTGTACGATCATTAATGCAATTAATTTCATTCGAAATGGATTAGTTCTTTTTTGTATTTCTCTTCATCCGCAGAGAACAATTACTTTCAGTGTTTGAAACGTGCTTTCGTGCAAGATCCATTGTTTTT